TAGTAGTAGTAGTGATAATAGTAGTAGTAGTAGTAGTAATAATAATAGTAAAAATGGTAAGAAGAATATAGTACTACTGTACTAGGGAGAGATGGTATGGGGCGTTTTGTTGGGGCTCTATGGAGGTCATGTAGGCTGAAAGGCAGCTTTGGGAGCAGTCCTTTCAAAAATATCCCACAGTCAAAGGAACTGATGTCTTGGCAAACCCTATAGCTGCAGAAATGCTGCGCAGATCTCACGAAAAGCGATTGTGCCCTCCTTGTTTCAAACTCGTGTGCTGTACCACCGCTCACCCCTCATGTTGCGAATAATGGTGCTGTTGCTAGCCGCTGGTTGACCCTTACATGTGGGCAAACATGCTTTCTGGCCAGACATGAGTACTTGAGCCAAAAGGCCTGCAGCGACACCCGCGACTGAAGGGAGCAGATCCATTTAGAAGGACTCCCCTTTCCAAAAAATCTACTCAGTATATTCTAGGGAGACATGATGTCCTAAGTGCCTTGACATGAGCTTTCTAGCTGGCTACGCGATTTGCAATTCAGGTTTTAGGGCAAAACAAGATCCACCTCGACTGGAGATAGTTCGTTTCAGCCGCGCTAGAACTTTTTAGGGTTTAGGGTGAGGGGACAACCCTGCCGACATAGGGATGAGGGCTTAGACCTCCGCCTTATAGGAGTCTCTCCCCGTCAGCTTCCCCCGTGGCTGAACTGTGGAGCACACCCCAAGCTTTATCTATCACTTGACAGTGACAGACTGCTCCTTTAATACTATCATTGATAATTTTATTGGCTCTAGTTAGCAATATTGAGAACAACCAGAATAATATTCTAAATTGCAGTATCTAAAATACGAATAGGATTCAGAATATTTCTGATATTAATCATGTTCTTTGCAGAGTGTAAACATGCGGGGGCCGAGGTACGCCGCATAACCTATTATTGGTAATATTGCCATCATTACTATCACTACGATTTCTACGTTTATTACTATTACTACTAGTATTACTATTGCTACTAACATGGTAGTTTCCCAAAATTAGGGTGCCCCAATATAGACCCCAAAATACTATAGTCCTTATTCTAGGGACTCCCAAAAAGGTACCCCTAATTTTGGGAAACCCCCACATTACTATTGTTACTATCCATAAGCTGCTAGTTGAAGAGGTTTCTTGAAACATGCCTGGGCGTAGCACGAACAACCTTACAATCTGAGCTATAGTCTTAACCCCGAGTGTTCCCCTTAATAAGCCCTAGAAGGTCCCTCATATCGTCCCTTAAAGAACCACCTTTAGGGAGTTTAGACTATAGTTCAATCTGTGGCCCCAATCTTGCTTGCACTTCGAGTGGTGACTGCTGCGACCGTTTTTTTCTCTTGCTGCTTGGCATACTTTAGGAGGACCTCCCACCCTGTAACAGCGGTACAGTACGAATATGATAGGACCCTAATATGATCCTTACTATCCCTCATAGTCACTATTACAGAGTGAAGGCATACTGCTTCCACATTTCTGAGCTCAGGCCCCAGGCCTCATGGAGGGCGATGTCGCTTTGCAGGAACCTGCTCGAGCCAGAAATCATGATGGAATATATGAGGGGCCTGGGTTTAGGGTTTGGGTTTAGGGTTAGGGTTTAGGATTTAGGGGCCTCTGGGGCCCCCTTTCAGGATACAGAAGGTCAAGGTGAAGTAGCAGAGGAAAAACATCCCAACCGGATGCCGTATGTTTTCGTGCAATCACGTGCCTTGGCATGATTGACTGTGGGATGTTGCGGGCATTGCAAAACCCTTTCCAGAATTTCCTGGGCTCGGTGGCTTCAGCAAAGTAATAATGATAGCCATAATAGTAGTAAAACAAGCATAGAAGTAATACTAAGAATAATAATAATAGTAGTAAGAATAATAATAGTGAGAACGATGAACAACTGAGCTTTCAAGTAGAGTCCATCCTGGTGTCTGCATCCATTTGTGGCGTCCTCCTTTTCATAGCAGCTGCCCTTTGCAACCTTTGCTTATAGTCCACCTTAAGTAGGTTGAATGTGGGGTATATGGGGATCTTATTCTAATGTACCCAAAGCCATATTCTATCCACTTAAGGCTATATTGAGGCCAGTTGCGCTTCTTGTAAGCTGTCTTGCCGCAGTCGTTAGCATATCATCCTCAAAATATGAGAAGCCGCACTCAAGTACTATACAATGAAATTCAAACGGGACCATAAATTTGATAACCTTCCCTTTAATAGGCAAGCCTTCTGGAGCCGCCCAAACCTTTCGGGGTCACAGTAACCGCCCGGTGCCTCGTCACGCCGTGCATGGTGTCAGCATGCACCGGCTGAGCCACGGCCCCTGTGCAGGTCAAGGCCCAGGATTGGAGCAGATCTGGTGTTTCTAAAAATTAGAAATATACAGGGTGTGTGTTATATGGGGGTTTTATGGGTGTAGGGTGTATGTTATACAGGGGTTATATAGGGGTAGGGTGTATGTTATATAGGGGTTTTTATGGGGGCAGGTGTATGTTATGTAGGGGTTATATAGGGGTAGGATGTATGTTATACAGGGGTGATATAGGGATATTGCCCCAATAATGGAGAATCAAATGGAAAGAACATGGAAAACAAAATCGAGTCTGAGGTTATATGGGATTTACACGTATTGGGGCTTCCCAACAAATACGGGTACCGTTTTGGGTGTCTGAAAAATCAGGGATATAGTATTTGGGGCTCTACTATATTGGGTTTCCCCTATTTTGGGAAATTACCATCTAGAATCTAGACTGTAGACTCTGACGCAAGGCAACTATGAGACACAGGAAAGCAGACTAAAACACAACCAAAATGAACATGTGTTTCTCAGGGAGCGGTAAGGCTGTTTGAAACAAATTACTGTCGATTTAAACAACCATCTTGGGTAAAGTAACTTAGAGTGACTGACAGTAACGGCAAACCACCTCAACGGCGAATCACCCCCTGGCATTATGCAACAAGAGAGAACAGGTTCTCTCCTGAGAAGGAAACATTGCCTCCTGAAATCGTGACAACCCCATTGTCTGAAGGGTGACACTCAGACTAAGAATTGACGTCAGCGAATCCAGCCACGCTCGCCTTTGCTGCTGCTGATGGCCGCCAGCTCAACCTCAGGGTCCCTAAAACCCTAAAACCCTAAACCCTCAAGCCAAGCCTAGACCCTAAACCCCCAAACCCAAACCATACCTGGACCCCCAAAACTAGGCAAAATAATAGCCAGAAACCCTAAATATAGCCCAAAACACCATTATCCTACATACTTTTGGGGTTCAGGTAATCCCTGAGGGTTCACTGCGTAGCTGGTAGAGTCTCATCGGGCCTCGGCTCAGACAAATGATCCTCGTCACCATCGGACCACAAAAGGTAAAAAACAAGAGGCGGCGTCTATTGGGGTATATTATAGTATATTATGGTATGTTGTAGTATATTAGGGGCTATGTTGGGGTCATATTGGGATAATGGAAAATAAAATGGAAATTACGACTTAAGGTTTAGGGTTTAGGGTTGTAGACCCATGATTAATGAACCACTTATTTTTAAGAGCCTGAATACTAGGATCCCTATTCTAATCCCTGTTAAGGGAAGGGCTTTTTTTTAATCAGCCGTCTGGGTTAGCAGCCCCCATGGGGGCATATAGGGCTATATATGGGCGATGGAAAAGAAAATGGAAACTACGGTATAAGGTATATGAGTATATATTCGGAGGACCCCGCACCCTGTAATAGTGGTATAGCAGGAATACAATAGGGCCTTGGTAGAATCACAAGTAAACCTTGTGGTCACTATTACTGGGGGGGGGGCCACAAAATCTATTGGGCACGATACCTCTTGTAAATGCTATCGGTAAGGAGTTTCCGAAGACCAGGCACCACACTTTTGGGCACTCGAGAAACCGGAAAGGCAGTTGCCCGCAAATAGTCTCAGAAACCAGACTTCTCCCCCTCCTGACTGTTGGAGTGCTAACAAAATGAGAACTTTTTGCGGGATGAGTCGCAAGAAAGAATGAATAGAACATGAACTTTGTACAACGGAGATAGCCGTATCCACAACTACTCATCATTCTTGTCTTACATACTGCGTCTTTGATACTTTATGCTTTTGGCATGCTCTTGAAGACTCTTGTGTTGGGTCAGCTCAGTATGGGACAATCTTGGCGTCGCCTCCGCAGATGCCTTGGTATTTTGTGCATAGGGACGATGTCGATGTGCATGGGTTTAGCGTTTGCAGTGGATCTGTAGGCGCGTAGGCGTGCCAAACTCAGAACCTTCTTTGGGGGATCACAGCGCTGGGATCCCAATAGAATGTGAAAAATAGCAAGGCAGCGCTAGTTTTCCTCTGATGAACTGGCAGGTCGAAAAATACAGAGGCTCCAGTGGGGAGAGCTCACCCAGTTTGATCCTACGATGAGAGGACGCAGCACTGCACAATGCTTGCTGGAAGGAGTCAGTTGTTCAAGGACCCATCTGAAACCATTACATCTTGGGCACTTTGGCACTACCTTCATCTGGGAACTTTGCTGAACTCCAACAGCTGAGGGTAGGTCACGAGGCAAATGCACACACACACACACACACCATTGTTTTCTTTGCTCTCCTGGATCAAGCGATCTGCATGGGCATTCCCTTGCTGATGGCTAATAGGGAAAAACGAATGGATCCCTAAACTCACTCCTACATAGTCCCTTACACTTTACGCTATGCCTTATTCCCTACTAGCCACCAGTAAGCTACCCAGAGCAAGCAAAGAGCGTTCAACCAAACAGGTGGAGCGCTGCCTTGAAAACTCAGGTCCCCCGATCCCCTACTCCTTTTAATCAACCTCCTCACACCCCCCTTATAACTAATTTTCTCCCAGTATATAGTGGTAACTGTATGAGAACATTGCGCTAACATTGCTCTGCTTGCGCCTCCTGCCTCCTACTCCAAACCCTAAACCAGGAACCCTAAACTTGGGAAGTCTGAGGACTTTCTGGAGCATGGCAGGCTCAGCATTCGAGCCAATCGTACCTCTCCTCTTTCCAGGCTCGCTCCCCGGCACCATCTCCGTGATCTCGGTTGTAGCCCATGCAGGCGAGATAGATCTTGCCTTGGCTTTTAGGTGTTTAGGGATTTAGGGTTGAGGGTGTAGGGGTGTATGGTTTGGAGACACCCTGATCACAAAGTAGCACAACTGGAGAATTCCACCTCTCCCTTTCAGGCCATGTAGTCCCTACACCTGATCCGAGCACCCAATCGAAGGCTGCCCAGCCACATGTCTGCTTGACCTCCGGCATGGTGTACATGCGCTCCAACCACTCCATTATGTGCGGATACTCTCCAGAGCTCAGCCGCCGGACGTTGCACTTGAAGGCCGTAAAGTAGCAGGTGTCGAAGCGGATGAGGTGTGGAAAGGCGCGGACGTCCGCAAGCGACAGGCTGTCCCCAGAGTCCGCCACCAAATTAAACTTCTCGCGAGCTTCCGCCTTAGCCTTCTCCTGAGGGTGCGAGAGAAATTGGGCTGCCCCTTTCCGTGGCTTCTGTCACTACGTTTCCGCCTCGAGTGATGAACAGATTTCCTGATCGTCTGGACGCACATGCACCCACACCCCTGCAATTGCTATTGAAAACAGTCACGTCACACGAGGAATCTGTCACATGAAGAGTCTCCCTAAACCCTAAACAGGCACAACCACGCCCCAATGAACAGATGATACTGGCAGAGTGGGAGTACGGGTTCATCATCTTCATTCCTAAAATCACAAACACCAATTCATCTCCCGAAACCAAGCTGGAAACCAGGGCGCCCCACTACTTTTGATTCAGGAAACCTTGCACCAATTATTACTATTTTTAATATTACTACTGTTATTACTATTGTTACTATTGGTACTAACCTCTAGCCCTCTCATTCCCAGGAATGGCCCAGTTAAGTTGCCCTAGTTTTTGCAAGATTTCCTCCATCAACCTTATCAGATCACCCCGTTGCCCACCTTCGACTTTGCGAGGATTGCCTCCACCTTCAGGCGGACAGAATATCTGGGAGCAGGGTTGCGAAGATACTGGTTGAATCTTGTAATTTAGAATAGAATAGGTGGCAAGACTCCTGGTATGCACACCAAGAACCCCATGGATTCGGAATGTTTTTTGATGCGTACAGAGGTCAGAAATTCATAAATCGCTTGCGGGCTTTGATCACGGCGCAAGGGGGGAGTCCTGACACAAGCTGCAGTTTCGGGTCTACTTGCTACCCCCTCATGAGATCTGCCCCCAAACTTTAGGAATATCTATCATCCAAATACCCTAAACCCTAGGGCATCTACCAGAATGTTTGGTAAGCCGCAAAAGGAGCTCACTTGTGCTTAGAGGGTCCCAGGCATGTGCTATGGCCTACGGACGCCCTCCGGAAAAGAAAGCCTTTGACCCCTTGACCCCCGCAAATGGCCCAGCACTGAAGGAATGGCAGAATTTCTCTCAGAATACCCCACCTCACATTTCCAAGAATTCCGATACAAACCATCCCAGGGACCCAATCTCCTTGCAATAAAAAAATATACATCTATAGATAGTTTAGGGTTTGGTGTTCAGGGTTTAGGGTTAGTACTTGGAGGGTCAGGAAGACCTAGTGCATGGGGCGATAATGGGGATAACTAGGGCTATTGAGGCTATTGTATGGCTGATAGGGATAAGTATACCCCTGACCAAGTAGGTTGTGCAAATGGTGGTCACGCTTTGGGTCTCCGTTAGATCAAAAACCCTTCCCCCCCCCACCCCTCCCCCCCCTCCTACCCATCCCCGCCCTCCTAAACCCTAACTCCCTTCTTGAATTGCAGACTCGGCCTCCGCCAGCGCCTTGAAAACATTCTGGCGCATCTGCTCCTTCAGCTCTGGCTCCTTCCACTTACTGATGGTTCGTCGGGAGGGAATATGTATAGGGTTTAGGGTTTAGGGTTTAGGGCTTAGTGGTTATGGTTAATAGGGAACCAGGGAATATAATCCCTACGACACAATCCCAAGATATTATTTTCCCTTATTCACTACTAACCACCAGTAAGTCCAGGTGAATTTTTGGGGCGTTCAGCGTTTTAGGGCTCAAGGCATCGTAGGGAAGCAGGGTTTAGGATAAGGTTCAATTTAGGCGTTCGTTTCAGGGTTAGCTACGGCTCGAAGGTTCTAGGGTCTGGAGCTTTGTGTCTAGGGTTTAGAGTTTAGGGGTTTAGGATTTAGGTTTCCAGACAGAAAGACGCAGCAAAACAAGATTAAGAACGTTAGTGGTAATAGCGGGGCGGTAGGGCTTTGGGGCTACGTTAAATATCGGCGCTTTAAATATACATATACATATACATATACACATACATATACATATATGTGCATGCGTGTGTGTTTGTATGTGTGACCCTTGTTCCCGCACCCCTTACATCATAGAAATCCCGAGTATACAGACATGAACATCTGATCTTTTTGATGGTACTATTGGACAGTAGGGGCTTTATCATTAGCTCTAAACCCTAAACCCTAAACCCTATTTCTAAGCCTGTACTGTAAACTGAAGTTGCTCTTCTGGCAGGCCTTGGCAAAGGCCACACGGTAGACCCCATCATTGATGTTTGGGTAGATCAGTGCGTTCAATTCCTCAGATTTCTGTGGACTGTACACGGTTTAGGGTTTGGGGTTTGGGGTTTCGCGTCAAGGGTTTGGGTTCAGGGTTTTAGGCTAACCACATGGTCTGGACCCTACATACTACTTGAAAGTTTATGGGATTTTGTAAAAACAACAAATACCGGGAACTAGAACCTATAACCCTGCTTCTAACTTGGGTAAACTATATTAATGTAACTTACTGGTGGTTTGTGGGCATAACGGAATTCGATCTCGGTATAACCCCTGTACAATGTAGCCCCTTTATCCCTACTAACCGCCAATAATTACAAGTAGCTAGCAACCTCCAAAGAGGGAGCAAGGCAGCCTGCTCTTAGCCTTCCGGGTGCAATGCTCCTGCTTAATCTATTGGTGGTTTGTCGGGAATAAGCGGTGGATGATAAAGGGATTATAAAGGGATTACATATAAAGATTCTATGAGATTATATTATCCCTTAGTTCCCTACATGGGGGCTATGTAGGGATTGCATTCCCTTGTTCCCTACTAACCACCAGTAAGTTTTTTCGGGTTGAGCTGGAGGGTGCAGGTTTTCCTGGTCCTGAAGCAACTGCGACCGCAGGCCCGTTGGGTAATCAGCACTCTTTAGGCATCGCAGCCCCAAATCTGCGTACTTGGAACACTCAACATTCCATGATATGCCCATGAACCTTCAACTTTGTACCCAGCCCCCGTGATAACATCTACACCCTAAACCCTGAACCCTAAATAGTAGTTTCCATTTTATTTTCCATTATCCCAAAATAACCCCAATGTAACCGTAATAGTACCCCTTTCACTCTAAACCTAAACCCTACACCCTCTTTCCAGCAGCTTCAGAGTTAAGGCCAGCTGCGTCGATTTGCGGCCGCAAGGCCTCTGGGTACAGCTCCTGGTTCCGGCCCTCCTTGTGGCATGAATTTGGGCAAATAATCATGGTAATGATAACAATAATGGCAATGAGAATGTTAATGTAATAGTAGTAGAAATGCTAGTAACAATGGTGATGGTGATGGCGTCGGGGGTGATGATAATGATAGTGATAATGCTGATGGGGATGCCAATGGCAACCATTGACAAGTAGTTGCTGAGCACATCCAGCAAGAAACGTGCGCAGGGAGCAAGCAGTTCTGATAGAAGTCATCGAGCCGCCGCCGCAGCAGCAGCAGCAGTTGTGGTTGTGGTTGTGGTTGTTGTTGTTGTCGTCGTGGTTGTTGTTGTTGTTGTTCTTATTCTTGTTCTTGTCACAGCCAGCTAGCTGGGAGTTTGCGAATACTAACCAATGGTTAGTCTGCAAACAAAACTAATGAGCCACAATAAGTCCGAGTGGTGGCCATTCGCTCTAACCATAATCGCGTGCTTGCTGCGCCTGTTGAAACTGCAAACAAGTCAAAATGATCAAGGTCCTCATCTAGCAGCTCATTCAAGCATGAGTTCAGGATGTAGCCGATCTGGATGTTGTCATTGCTAACGATCTTGCGCGTCTTCTTGTCAAACAGAATCGGCACGCTTAGCTGGCGACGACCATAGTCAGGAGAGTCTGTGAGGTAGATGTCGCGTGTATGCTTGGCATTGAGGACTGGATCAGGATTTTCTTCATCGAACGCCCAGCCAGAATAATCATCCTTCAGTTACAAGCACACAAAGCAGTACCACAAACGCTATGATAAAGTGATAAGAACCCTCAACAGAATCTGCCACATACATGCCCAAGAATCGGATCCCAGCCCTCCGCCCCAGAAGTAGTTGGCAGTTGCAGAGATGGAAACCACACTCCTTGGTCATCGCCATGAACAAGCTAGTGCCTTTCCGTGATTATTCACGAATATGAGATAACCCTAGAACGATCACAAATCACGGGGCTCGAGTGTCCATCAAGATCGCGTGCCTTTTTCAACAGGCTTTAGTACTGTACTGCTCGAACCGCTCAACATGATCCAAAATTTGCGCAGGCTCTGCGGAATGTGTTTGAGCCCATGGATGATGAGTGCACGATGGCACCAGCCGCAGGTGTAGTTGATGTAGAGGTGGTACCTAAGTTTGCTGGCCGACTTTTTAAGGCTCGGAGTCCATGGGCATTCAACCCTGGTTGCTCGCTCATGCTTTCTCCTTCTGACTGGCCTCCGCACACTTACATAATGAAACCAACAAAACTTCATCCATATGGGCATAACTTACTTGTGAGAGAACTATCCTTCATGCAAGCACTGGTTCAGGGCGCCCATAAGAGGCAAGCCTTAAAGGACAGCCAGCTGCGCACGAAACCCGGTAAACTACGGGATTTCAGCCCAAATGGAAAGCCTGTGATGTCACGTTGAGTGCCTACAATTCAGTGTTCACTTGAGCTTCTTCTCGGCAAATGGATATTGGGGGTCCACTCAAGGCATGTGCTGAACGAGCTGAACGCAAAGAAAGACGTTCCTTAAACCACATGAGCTATAGTCTAAACTCCCAGTATCCCCCTCAATAATCCCTATAATAGTCCCATATATAAGCCCCTATATAACCCCCTTTAAGGAGTTTAGATTATACCTCACATGTAGAAGGGACACCTCTCCGGCTCTGGCGGGAAGGGCGAGTTTGGAGCAATCCAGTTCTGAAAGTTCGACGCTCCACGCTTGAAGGCTCCGGCCTGCATGCAAATACCAAAGTGATTCTGCTCTCTACTGCACCACCAAGCCTAACAGCAACTAAGAACAACTAGCAACACTACCGCGATGACCACAACGACGCCTCCCGATCCCCCCTCCCTCCTCCACCTCCTCCTCCTCCTCCTGCTGCTGCTGCTAGACGCAGCCCCCACGAACCACGTTTGCCGAAATGGTCAACAGCTTGTCGGAAAACTAGACTGTGCACACGAATACACACAACTCACTGCAGGTGCATCATGATTGATCAGTAGGAATCCTGTAGCCCACTGCATCAAAGTTACCCTGTGTTTCTGTCTCACACACCTTTGCAGGTAAGCCCCCCTTCTCAAGGCCGCCACCCTAAACCTCCGTCGCTTTTTGCAGTGGGCTTATGCGCCAAGCATACATGCTGGGTCCAGAAAAGCCATAAGATATCTTCCCAACTAAACTTTGAGTGTCTCGACTGCTGCCTGTGTTGGTGCCAATGCAGGGTCGCCAGCTCCACCTGCGAATGCCTTTACGTCGGCCATGGCGCAGAAGGCGCAGCCGCGCCACGATTTTGATTGAGATAGAGTTATTTGGGTTGCGGGCTTCAGGATTATTATGTTTTGGATTCTGTTGGTGCAGTACAGGGCTTAGGGTATGAGGTTTAGGTTTGAGAGTCTGTCCGCATGGCAACATGAGCAGTAGACCAGACGCATGAAAACGTGAGGATTGTCGGATTGCGAGGGATGGGATGAAGCGCTAACGCGGAGTCCTAGCGACAGCGGCAGCAGCAGTTTTTGCTGCCTGCACTCGCAAATGCAGCCGTAAATGCAGCGGCAATAGTGACCGACACAGTGACCGCTATCCTCCAACTAACTGGCAGCCAACCCTAAACCCAACACCCTAGTAGTCCGGAGCAGTGAAAAGCCAAGACGAATCCCTGAGCAGCCAGGATACTCGTGAGCAAAGGGCCACAGCGTGCTGCGAAACGATTCAGAGCCTCTCAAGGGATCTGGGACAAGGAGATTCAATCAATGGTAGTGTTCAGGGCTTGGTGGTTTGGAGGCCCTTTCAAGATGGTAGTTTCCCAAAATAAGGGGACCCCAAAATACTCTAGTCCTTATTATTGGGACCCCTAAAATGGTACCCCTAATTTCAGGAAACCCTAATCCCTATAATCCCCAATATAATCCCAGCTTCCATTTCATTTTCCATTTTCTTTTCCATTT